ACTTTATTATCACGTTGCATAGTGCATATGTCTGAATAATATCTGTTATAATTTGCGATAACAGGATTTAAATTGTTGGGTATAGTGAGATGGTTGATAGCTCTGTCTACGTGAATTTAATGGAGAGGGATCATGTTTGTCAGTGAGGAAACTCAATATTGTAAGGATGCAAATTCCCCCAAGTGAATCTATGAATTGACGTGTTCATTGGAATCACACTGTACAGGGTTTTTCCACATTGAACATGTTATAAAATTCATTTGGAAGAATAAAAAAGGTCCAAAACAGTTGGACAAACAATAAGAAGGGACGCATTTCCCTTACTTGAAATCAATCTGTGTTACAAGGTGTAGTAGTTAAATGGTTAAAACTAATAGCTTAATGGTCAGATTTTCCAAAGTGGTTCTGGCATCTGATTTATGCCTCGGGTCCTATAAGGAAAAGGAAGAGCCAGATGAGGGTGTGAGGACATGGGTGGAGCCGGACGTACTTAGAGGCAGTGGACAGTTGAGGTTTCCGATAGCTCTCCCCTTACCCAAGGCTCTCAGAGGTCTAAGAGGAACTTAAGCTTATCAGTGCTGGAAGTGGTGTTGATACCAACCCAAAGGGTGGTGTGTTGGGAGAGGGAGGGAAAAGACGCTCTTTTTCCTCCATTAGTTAAGATTCTTGACTGTGAACAAGGATGCCCATGGACAGACCCTTGGACTAGTGCTCCCTTCATTGCAACCAAGAGAAAATGAATCTTCCATGGGATCACAGAGTTAGTTTTGCCCCTCCAAGGGGCAAAATTCTGCAGGAGCTTGCCCACCCAGCTGTACTCCCCTTCTCTGAGATCAGCAGCAGCTCCAACCTGTCCAGCCTTTGAACTGGGCTGACAGTTCTGATGAAATGTTGAGCAGCATGCACCCTTGCTTGTTCCTGCAGAGTTTTATTGGCTCTGCAAGTTTTAAAACTCATAAAAGATGTTTTATCAGTGAAAGAAGCTGGCCTACAGGGAACAGATGATTATGTACGAAGGCATCGTCTCCCGTGTTCTAATAACCATAACCAGTTTTAAATATTACACATTGTAATATCAATAAAGCCTCTGTCATTTATTATTTACTCCTCAAATCTTCTCCTTTCAGTAAAAGATATTAGAAAAGGTCAGAGCTGCTGTCAGACCCCAGTGATAAAGAGCAGGACGGTGCTCCAGAAAATCATAGTTCTCACAGCGTTCAGGACTATAAACTTTTTAAATTGAATTGTAAAAGTTTATCACTAATAAAGAAACTCTTTTAGGTGATTTTAATGTTATTTGGTCGTTTGGAATATTCCACAGATGGAAACAGATGGTAAGGTCATGAAGTGGGTGAGCATTCAGCGTCATAAAATGCAAATACATTTTCTCCACGTTAGAGATGCAGCAGTGGAGTCCCACTAATGTTATAGGTCATTATCTAGTTCCTACAAAGATCAGGTGCTCTAACATGGCAACATAAATAGAGAAGGGGCTGAGGTTTCTGCTGGCGGGAAAGGAGCTGAGAACAGCCAACAGAGCTCCTTTTGGTAAAATAAATATATATTTCCCATTTTCTCCTTCAAATGACCTTGACCAATTCCTCTCTTGTGATGGGTAAAGAACAGTTCATCCTAGATGAGAATGGAAATTCATTTTTCGCAAAAGGTAATTTTAATAAGGGGATTGGTTTCTAGGAAGACAAATATACTAGATTGTAGACTCCTTGAGGGTCAACTCCTGGCCTTGATTTCAGGGTCATTTACTCATTCATTCAGCAAATAATTAGTGAACATTTACTCCGTGCGAGGCATTGCTGTAGACATGTAGGATATATCAATGAACAAAATGGGGAAAAATCCCTTTATGGAATTTACATTAGAACAGGATAGGTGAGGCAAAAACAATATGTAATTAGGTAAGTAAATTAGAATGTTATTGTAAGCAAAATAGTATGTTCAGAAGTGGGAAGTACAAAAGAAAAAAGAAGAGTAAATCAGATTTGATATGATCAAGATGGCTGGCATGAGGCATGAGAGCCCCTAGAAATTAATTCCTTTTTTTAAAATATTCATCCTGCAGACTTTTTATTTTACAGTGCCTACACATGAGTGTATTTTGAACAATGATTGATTCTGATGAATACACAGCATTGTTGCTTCCTTTTATTCAATCAACCCAATGTCATAAAAATTCTCCTTATCAATGACTATCTTTCTAAAATGTAAATAAATAAACATGGTAGCTAGGGAGGTCCTCTTGAAAAGGGGGCTACTTGAGCAGTGACTTGAAGGGAACAAGCCAGAGACATGGGAAAGGCGTGCACCTGGCATGTCTGAGAGGTAACAAGGAGGCCAGTATGGCTGTAGAGGCAACAGCAAGTGGGGGAGAAGCAAAGGAAGGCAGAGAGAGAGGGAAGAGGTAGCTGGTACTGAATCGTTTATGGCACTGAAGGCCATTGTCAGCACTTTGGCTTTTATTTTGAGTGAAATGGGGTGCCTTGCATAAATAGAGAAGTGACATGGCATAACTTATCACCTAAAAGGAAATTCTCTTAAAAAGACATCTGCACTCCGACATCATTGCAGCATTACTTACAATAGCTAAGACTTGGACGACATGGACAGCAAAGTAAGTGTACATCAACGGATGAATGGATAAAGTAGATGTGATATGTATCTCACATATTATTAAACTACAGAAAGAAGGAAACCCTGCCAATTGTGACAATACAGACGGATCTTAAGGGCATTATACTAAGTGAAATAAGTCAGAGAAAGTCAAATTCTGTATGATCTTACTTAGAGATGGAATCTAAGAAACAAAACTCATTGAAGCAGGGCAGATCGGTAGTTGCTAGAGATGGGATGTTGGGAGTAGGGAAATGGGTGAGAGAGGCCAAAAGTTCTAAGTTCTAAGGTGATTAAGTTCTGAAGATTTAATGTGCAGCATGATGGCTGTAGTTAACACAACTGTATTGTACATTTGTAAGTTGCTAAGAGAGTAGATTTTTTAAAAGATTTTATTTAATTGAGAGAGAGAGCATGAGAGAGAGATCATAAACAGAGGGGACACATAGAGGGAGAAGCAGACTCCTTGCTGAGCAGGGAGCCTGGTGTGAGACTCGATCCCAGGACTCTGGGATCGTGACCTGAGCTGAAGGCAGACGCTTAACTGACTGAGCCACCCAGGCGCCCTGAGAGAGTAGAACTTAAAAGTTCTCATCGTAAGAAAAAATTGTAACTATGTGTGGTGGTAGATGTGCAATGAAACTTACTGTGGTGACCATTTTGTAATATATACTTGTATCAAGTCATCATGTTCTACAACTAAAACAAATGCGATGTCATATGACAATCATGTATCTGTAAACTAGAAAGAAAAAGAACCCTCTGGAGACTGGGTCAGAAAGACACTGTTAGCAGGCAGGAGGTGAAGAGAAAGACCAGAAAGGAAACTATGTCAGCAATCCTGGAGAAATGAGGATGCCCAGACCAAGTGGGGCATCGGAGATGGCGGGAGGTGATCGGACTCATTATGTCTGACCCCAGAGCTGAGAAGAGTTCCTGTGGATTCTGTGTGCACTGCCTCAGGAAGGAGGAACCAGGGGGAGCTCCAGTTCTTGGCCTGACCAACTGAAGGCAAGAGCTGTCCTTTCCCTGAAGACGGAAGGCTGCAGGAGGAAGTGGTTCCATTTCCATTTTGGACAAGTTGAGTTTGAGGGTACTATTCGTTATCCAAGTGGAGATGACAAGTAGGTAGTTGGGTATCTGGCAGCATCACGAATTTGCGAGGTCTGGCCTAGGGATATGAATTTGGAAGTGATCAGCCCATCTGATATTTAAATCTAAGTATCATCTGATGTCTGATATTTAAGCTATGAGACTGGATGCGATCCCTACAGGCGTGTGTGTGCAGAGAGAAACAGGAGGTCTCAGAAGTGACTTGGTGACAAGCTCAGTGAAAGTGGAATGCATAAACAGAAGTGGATGAGTCATAACAGAAATTAGCGCATTTCTCCGGAAAATGGCAACTCAGAGAAATAGCTCTAGATATGTAGTTCATGCAAGCAACACCATAGAGTTGTTTATAACTTGAAATGTGGCTTCTTCTAGGTCCAGGGTGGAAGTGGGGGCCTGATGAAGAAGGTCACAGGGAGAGGAGAGAGTAACCACAGTTGCGCCATATTTGTTCACTCATTATGTATGCCTTCCTTCCAACAGAAACAATTTAAGGGCCCAGTATGTGTCGGGCATTAATTGCTAATGTTGGGCACTTGCAGGGTTTTGCCACCCACCATCAATTTCTTCTTTCTGACTATCTTAATTTCCTTTTAGGCATTACTGTTCCCAGCTGTGGGCCACCCTACAGAGGCAGTGAGCCCACAAATCTGTACGACACGGGTACTGCCAAGAGGCCAGGCATGTGATGTAGTCTGGGCCAACTAGACTCTACACCAGCGTTTTGGCCTTTCAACAATGAAAGAAGAAATGACTAGTGATCTAAGAGAGTAGAATCAAGTCACCATCGCAAGCCACACATATAACTTTGAACTTTCTAATAGCTACCAAAACAAGGTAAGAAGAAACAAGTCTAGCTAATTTTAATTCTATATCTTATTTGACTCCATGTCTCCAAAATATCATCAATGTGTAAATATTATAAAAATTATTTACAAAATTTTACATTATTTTCCTTGTACGGAGTCTTTGGAATTGGATACATGCTGTACATTTATGGTGCAACTCTTTTCGGACCCGCAGTATTTCAGCACTTGATCGCCACATGTGGGGTGTCACTGGGTTGCAGAGGGTAGGATCTGAGTTCATTCATTTCAGCAGCAGCTCACTAAGCAGATGGAACCTTCTGCAGGCTCTCAGAAGCAGGGCTTACTTCTTGACCCTCCAGAGCTTCCTCAGTCTTTGGGAAGCCCACTCCACGGTGTCCTCCATCCTGATAGGGGCAAGGCAGTATGTTTCCAGCAGCCTGGAATGCAGTTTCTTTTGCTTAGGTTGCTAGAGTAATTTCTTCTTACTTACACTCAAAGAAACCTCACTGCTCTACTCCTTTGTTGGAAAACAAAGAAGGATGTGTGCTGGATCCAGACTTTTAACAAGGGTGGAGTCAAGAAGATTACACCTTCAAGAAGGATAATGTGAGTCTGCATGGGTTTGGATGGGAAAAAAAAAATCTCCAAAATAGAGCTTTGGGTGAAAAGGCAAAGATGCATAAAATGTGTATGGTATGGTCCTCTTTGTATAATTTCTTCAAAAGCCATGCATGTGTGTATATACACACATAAAATTATTACATGAAAAGGAACAAACTTGCAGAACAGGGTGACCTTTAGAGAACATGGGTGGGCAGTGGGGAACATGTAGGTTATGGGCAGAATTGTGCCCCTGCAATCGTGTATTGAAGTTCTAACCCCCAGTACCTCAGAATGTGACCATGTTTGGAAAGGGGTCTTTGAGGAGGTAATTAAGTTAAAATGACATCACTTGAGTGACCCCTTATCCGATATGACTTTTCTCCTTGCAAGAGTCTGATATTTGGATGTACTACATACGATTAAAGAGAGAGAAGGCATTGTGAAGACACAGGAAGAAGATGACCATCTCTAAGCCAAGGAGAGAGACCCAGAGCAGATTCTTCTCTCCTGGCCCTAGAAGAGCCCAGCCCTGCCAGCACATAAATCTTGGACTTCTAGTTTCTCTGTAACTGTAAGAAAATAAATTTCTCTTGTGGAAGCCATCTCGTCTGTGACCCTCTGCTGTGGCAGCCCCAGAAAACTCATACCAGGAAGTAGTTAAAAGAGAGGTGGACTTCTACTTACTTTAACGGTTTCTTTTCTAATATTTTTACATGTACTTCGACATAAATATAAAAAAAAATGGAAATATTACAAAAAGAAGACTCAGGGTCCTCCCTTACCTTCCTGTGTCTCTCTGCTTCCTTCTTTGTATACATTCCCTTCTTGAAATTTCACCACACATAAAGCAAACTCCTAGGACCCTTACATCTCCAAAGGAAGGTAGAACTTATGACTTAACTCTTCCTTGTTCAGTTAATGTACTTGCCTGTCTTTTTAATTGTGGGCACACCATGATGTCCATTGGAATGATTATGGAGACATCTTTGTTTGGTTTCATTCTCTGTTCTCTTGTCAAGTTCTTTATTATACCTTTATGACGTTCCTCATCTGGAACTACGTAAGTTACAGGTCTTTGCTTGTAGGTAACAGAATGTATACCTTACAGTCTTAAGCAGAAAAAAAAAAAAAAAAACAACAATTCATTGAAAGGCAAGAAGGGACCTAACAGGTTCCAAAGAGAAGCTCTACAAACAAGTTTGGGAAAAACAAAAAACAAAAAACAAGAAGGAATAAACTTCATGGGGGGAGGAGAGTCATAGCCAGAACTGATGCGCCTCCAATGAAGTTAATCAGCCTATACTTGTTTGTTTTGTTTTGTTTTGTTTTGTGTTTTGTTTTGTTTCTGAATCCTTTTCTTTAGGATTCCATACTCAAAGGAAAAAAAGTCTAATGAGCTTAAGTTGCCTCATATGCCCATCCCTTAATCAGGAAAGGCAAGGCACTTTCCCCAGCAGGGAAAGTGTTCGATGTAAGGCAGATCCAATGTGCTTTTGCCAGAAAAAGGGGATTCTAAGTAGCGAAAATAACATATTTCTTGGATGATAATTGATTTATTTGTTTATTCCACACCAGGGGCCATGTTCAGGAAGATCTTTCCTATAGCGTCATCTTCCAAAGGGTGAGTTGGATTTACAATTTTCTTATACAACATCCAAGATGATGAGTGATTGATAGGTGTCTAGAGTTATAATGTGAAGTAAATTCTATTACATTGTGCCTAGATAGCTTTCTTTATGGTTGTTGTAAGGGTTCCTTCTCTAGGTTTTGCCTCTTACTAGAAAGTTGGTCTCCCCTTTCAAGGTAGTGATCACTGTGCTGACCAGACCTTACCTCATTTTTTTAGGTAATTGAAAAAATCTATCCAACACCCTCATCAGTCGGCAGGGGGTGAGGGGGGCGGGAAGTAGACTCTTAAAATCCTTGCTTTCTTCCATGTATTTACAGATCCAGGGAAGGTTTGAGTTAATCTCTTTAGGAAATAAATTTTAGAAACATTTCTTAAAGTTTAGAATTAAGTTATTGAAAGGTATGTATAATGATGGCCTAAACAATTGATTTCATTAACTCCGGTAGCATATTACATAGATTTGGGCTATGATTATGAAATCACGGTTTTATTTTTCCCTAATTAGATATTGAAGTTTAGGTCTAGATTTTAATCATACTCCCCCAGAGTAACTTTGGTTGAGATTTTGTGATGCAGTGGAAACAATGTGAGCTCCTGACCTTGGGCAGACCGGTGTATGCTCCGTGTAAAACCAGTTCTCCTTCCAGGTGCGGAATCCGTACCAAATGGGAATTGCAGGGTGCGGGCCTTCTGGAAGAGAACACGTGAGCAAAACTCAACAAAAGTAAGTGCTTTTTCATTCGTGCTCCTTTAAAAAAAAACTTTTTTTATTCTTTTTTAATTGAAGTGTAATTAATATACGATGTTACATTAGTTTCAGGTGTACAACAGAGTGATTTGACAGCATTATACATTACTCACTGCTCACCACGGTAAGTGTAGTCCCCATCTGTCCCATGCAGTGTGTTTTCATGTCCCTGTGCTGTATTTTCATGTCCGTGACTTATTTATTTGAGTGGCTGTACTAGAAGTGGCTATATTAGAAAAGAAAGGGGTAAGACAGTTAGTTGCAGGCTCATGACTTGAATTGGGATCTGAATTCAAATCTGAAATCTACCCTATTCTAGCCACACGACTGCAGGTAAGTTTCTTAAATTCACGGAGCCTTCGTTCCTTCATCTGTAAAATGGAGCTAAACTATCTATTTCTTACTGTGATCTTTAGGGTCCGATGAAACACTTGAGGTGTCCATTTCCTGTGCATCATGAATACTTAATAAGTTGTAACCATTATGATTTGGCAACTGACATTTTACGTGACTGACTCATTTCCCTTCTGTAACCCATTTAAAGCAGCTTAATGATTACTGGTTTGTTTAATCTGTGTAGGTCTGTTTGGTTTGTATGAATACAACTAGTTGCGTCCAGAAAGCAGAACAAATCCTATAACCCACAATTTCCTAAGATGCTTCTAGAACACTAGCCATAGACCATACAGTGTAACAAAATGGGTCATCAGGAACATGTTTTCTGTTCAAACAGATTTGGGTAAACCTTAATAAAAGTCAAACTGCTGTTTATTGCAGGACTTTCCAGAGCCTTTAAAATGCTATCATGCATTGTGACTTTCCAGAGGCAAATAGTACAGACAAATTTCCTAACTTACTTGACCAAAAATAAAATAAAAAAAACCCCATTAACATGAAGTTAGTATATTCAGAAAACACTGTGAAGAAGGGATGCCATAGCTGTGTTACCAGCCACTTGCCAAGTGGCATGAGAGGTGTTCACTGCAGACAATCCAACTTGCCTAGAGCGGCCATTGGGAATGTAATCTAGTTCCTCCTGAAAGCAGAATTTTTTTCCCCCCAAATTGAGTTGTAGCCTATGAGGGAGAAACAAATTGCCACCCCACTGTTCACACTTCTGCTCTGTCTGTAAATGTTAGGAACTACTGTAAAAAGACATTTGAGTTCCTGCGGCAATAAATACACAAATATAGATTTTCTCCAAATACGGCTAGGGCATCATTTTCCCCCCTTTTACCACCTCAGAGTCCCTAAACAGGTTTGAATCTGTTGCCAAAGCTTTTTAAAGCCACCTAGCTGACTTTCCCTTTCATATGCTAACAATCTGTTCATCCTATTCCCAGGGAACTCAGATGGAGCTCTCTCTCTTTCCTCCTCTCTCTCTCCCTCTGCCTCCCTCCCTTACTCCTTCCTTTCCTGCCTCTCCCTTTCTCGCCCTTTCTTATTTCTTGGCAGACTTGCCCCTGGATAGACAAATTGTAACTCATTCTTTTACTGGCACTTAAGCACCAGAATTTAGTCAATCCCACTCCATGCCATTGGCTAAGTAATTACTTGGAATTGGCTACCCGCAGTTTAACTCTGTTCTCCACCCACCATTGATACCAGAGGAGTTTTACCTGCAAAAGAACGAGGTCCTATTCTCTATGCACGAAATGTTCTGGTTTTCTACAGACTTCTGTGCCCGAGTGAATCTCAGGCAAAAAAAGAAAGTTCTGCACATCCATCAATACTGAGAAGGCCGTGACGTTCCTATCTAGAGCTGAAGCTGGAGATTGAACATGTAAGGGAAAAAAAATCTTGCGGCACATAAGGAATTGCGTGAAGCTTGCACTCAAGGTCGAGGAGGATCATTTTCTAAGGTTTACGTGATGCTGCTTGGGCAAGATTTTCTTTAGCCTCTTGTACAGTCTTTAAATTGAATGATACTATGCACATTTTCAGGATCCTAATGGCGATAGGCACGAAGGTGAGATATAGTCATGTCTTCATACTTATGGGGACAGCAATTAGAGCTTTGCAAAAGTGAGGCAGAATTGGGGAACACTGCCGTCAGGATTGGTGATGTAAAAGTAGTTTCTGCACCATAATGTGAGTGTCTATGCTCTCACTCGTGTACTTCTAGGACCTGGAGGCTTGTGGGCACATAGTAAGGGCCCAATAACAGCTTATTTAAGGAAAAAAAAATCTTTAAAGAGGCAGCTTCCACCGTCTATCTCTGGTCCCCTCTATCTATGGAGTTGAACTCATGGCTAAGTTACATTATGACTAAGAGGCATGGCATCATACTTAACACTGGCCTTGGAGTCAGAGGGCCCTGTCCCATCTGTGTGGCTTTGTGCAAGTTACCGAGTCTAAACCTCACCCTCCTCATCTCTATGGTGGAGATGGTGGTCCCTGAGACACCTTCAGAGCAAAGATTGGTTAAGACAAGGTATGTCAAACCTTTGACTGCACCTGGCTTATTGGAAGCCTTCACTAAATATTAATATGTTGATGATAAACTTTGTATCATATCAGTTCAAAAAGAGTAGGTCTTCAGGTAGAGGAGTATAGAACCAGATGCTAGGCAGTATAAATTTTATGTACTATATACTATATATACTAACTTATAAATGCAGGCACTGGGTCCAAAATCAGATGTGGCGCTACATGGCACTGTCCCTTATCCTCAGCCCTACCCAGCACCGTGGGAAACACCAGGACCACAGTTGATCAGGCATCCCATAGAGAGTCATATAAATAATCATTTCAAAAGATTGCTATGGGTCAGTGATTTTCAACCAGGGAGAGGTTTGCCCCTCACCCCAACCCCAAGAATGCTCAGCAGTATCTGGAGTCCTTTTTGGTTGTCCCAGCTGTGGGGATGGTGACGACAGAGTAAGCTCTGGGCTTCTGATGGGGAGGAGGGCCAGGAATGAGAACGATCAGTAGCGTCCAAACTTGGGAGCTTGGGTTTTAAAAACATGTGACCTTTTAAAGACTCCATCAGAGTCAACACTTCTCAAGGATAAACGATTTATGAAATTATTTTCAGAGTTTGGAAAAGGGTTCAGTCTATGGCTCAGTTTGGCTGTGAGAACTGGGGAGCGAGATGGTTCTGGGGAGCCCAGATCTGTTACACTTCCTGGGGCCCACTGGCTGGGCAGCCGGGCCAATGCAGACAGGTGCGGCCTTATGAAAATATGCCTTGAGCAAATATTCTGCTTGGGAATGTTTATAATAAGTCATTTTAAAATACTTGAATGCCCTGACTAGCAACAAAAATCCCAATTAACCCAGATTCCACTAAAAATAGGAAGAGCCCATTGCATTTAGGCAGAGTTATTTCATTAGTGGGTGAGGCAGGCAGAGAAAATAAATTCTAGGGAATAACAATACTAACAACAACAACAACTCTCATTTGTTAAGCTTGGGCACCACGTTACATGCTGTGGTGGAGAGTGGGGTGAGGAGAAACTTTGGGTCTGGAGTCCTACCTCAGCCCTATCACAGATCAGCTGTGGGAGTCTGGGAAATTTATTTCTTCCTTTCTGCTGCTTATGGTTTTGTCTGTAAAATGGGAACTGTAGTAATATGTGCCTCATGGGATTGTGGTGAGAATTCAAAAGAATAAAGTCTCCAGGACACTCAGCACAGTGACTGACACATATGCTTCTAGGAAATGTGAAGTAATTATCTTTGGAATAATCCTTCCAAAAACTGTGGAGATATGTAAAGATGAGAATATTGAGAAATGGGAAAACTGTCAGAAAGAGATGAAGAGAGTTGTCTAAATTCCCGCAAGTAGTGAGTTGCCAAGCTGGGTGGAATTCCAGAGCCCACTTGGTAACCCTCGACGGGGAAGGGTGTCTGGTGCATCTAAGGACACAGCACATGCCTGTCGAGGAAAGCTCTCCTCCAGTGTCTCTTCAGTGATGGACATTTTAAGCTGATTTTGCCCTTTATCACCCTGCCACCGTTGCTGCCATCCCAAGAATGGGTTCTCAGGTCCCCAGCGGGTGCATTAGATCATTCAAATAATGTAAATGGTGGATTTCACACTTGGAAAGTTGCCCTTGGAGAAATAGTGAAAGGTGTGTCAGTGCTTCCATCAAGAACTAGTTCTCAGCAGACCGGAGTGCCATCGCGAAGTGCGTCTCTGCCCTGATCACACTGCCTGGACCTCGTCACGTAGCTTCCTTCAGGTGCTCTCACTGGAAGAGGCCTGGAGGGAGAGACAAGTCTGTGGGTTGCCAGCAAGATTAGGAAGGGCCCACAGTGTGTGTGTGTGTGTGTGTGTGTGTGTGTGTGGGTGTGTGTGTGTGTGCGGTTGTGTATATGTTTGAGTGTGTATGTGCACATGTTTGAGTGTGCATGTGTGTATGTACTTCTGTGTGTGCCCGCATGTGTGTGTGTATGTGTATGCAAGTGTGCGTATGTGGCATGGGTGTGCATGTGAGTATGTGTGAATGTGTCTGTGTGTACCTGTGTGTGCCTGTGTGTGAGTGTGCCCATGTGTGAGTGTGTATGCACCATGTATGCCTCTTTGTGTATGTGTGTGTATGAGTGTGTATGGGCTTGTGCTTCTGTGGGTATGTGTATGTGCCTGTGTGTGACTGTGCTCAGAAAGGTTATTGTCAAGGTTTGCTTCAGAATTTGGTTTCCTGTTGCCAAATGTAGGATGTTTGGGGAAACGCAATCTTTTCCCCTCCTCTGTGGCCACTGAGAACAAAATTGGGTGCTGTTGACTTGCACTTAGAGCCTCCTCCTTTAGGGGAACAAATTCTAATAACTCTTCACCCAACAGCAGTCAGAATTGGGGTGGAAGATGAAATACTTGCAGGAACTCAGAAATTGCCCTTCTAATGTATGTTGAGGGTCATGTGGAATGAAATTGCTCTTTCTCAGGTGTATTTACATCTTCCGGTTTATATGTTCCATCCTGCAAGGATTCACGGAGCTCGCAGTGACAGCCCATCAGTAGATTAATGCAG